TCCCTAGCATCCTCTTCATACATAATACTTAGACTAAAGCAATGAACTGAAGCACCAGCAGCATATTTACTCTACTGTGCAGCCAATGTCAAACTCAAGGCAAAAGACAGCAAAATATCTTACTTCTGGGCTCCAACAAAGTGACAAACTGTGTAAAAACTCAGTCCTCCAATCCTCCTTATGCAACTCAACAGCTTCTTTTTAAAAAGGTGCTTTCTTTCTTTCTTTTTGCTAATTAGAATATGAGAGATTTAGCAGATGGTGACTGGACATTCGATTTCTTTAATTACTGTTAAACTAAATTTGGTTGGTTGCTGCTGTTAAAAAATGTTAAAAAATGTTCATAAACAAACAAGGAGTGGAAATTTTGAATATATGCACTTGAAGCAAACCTTTTTGATGACTGCCTCTGTCAGTGCGCCCCAGGGCAGCTGTGGCTACAATGTAGTTTGCCATCACCAAGGTGCGAATGTGTGTGTGAATGGGTGAATGACTGAATGTAGTATAAAGTGCTTTGGGGTCCTTAGGGACTAAGTAAAGTGCTATACAAATACAGGCCATTTACCGTTTACTTAACTAAGAGAGAGTATTTCTGTTCCTGTGTCTGACAAAATCCTGGAGATCCTGTACTTTGAGTACCTTATGCTAATACACTTAAAAACAAAGTCAAGCATGAACATATCCAACTTAATGCTTTATGTAATTTTGTACCATAAACACTGATTTATTAAGTGACTACAGGCAATGCTGAAAATGGTAGGAACCCCATGAATGCACTTGTTTCTGGTACAGTTTTACCCCAAATCTTTTGGCATGTCTTCATCACCAAATGCAGATCATGTGCCTCCATCTCACTGTCCCAGCATCCTCCACTCTCACACCAGCCCTCTGCATGTCTTCCTTCACTATATCCATGGATGTTCTTTTTGGTCTTTCTCTTTTTCTCTTGCCTGGCAGCTCCATGTTCAACATCCTTTGTCTGTTTCATTCTCCAAACCATACTTTACAGCAGGTCACACTACTATTACGTAAGGCTTCCCTTTCTGTCTTGCTGCTATCCTTTTGTGGCAAAACACACATTTTTGATAAGATCTCAAAAGAATTAATCTTTTCCAATTTCAGCTGTGGTTCATTGTTTAGCACTGTTGCCTCACAGCAAGAAGGTCCTGGCTTTAAATGAACTAGGTGGGGGTTGTCCAGCTACTCTGGGTGGGTTCTCTGGCTTCCCCCAACAGTCCAAAGACAAGCATCAGTTTAGTGATTTTAAATAAGTTGTGACCATTAATGGTTGTCTTCCTCTACATATACATATATACATACATATCTCTATCTAGGTATATATCTATATCTCTCTCTGTCTCTCTATCTCTCTCTCTATCTCGATAGAGAGAGAGAGAGAGATAGAGAGTATCATCATGCTCTTTGAGTACAAATAGGTTTTGTGTTTACGCTTCATGCAGCTGAACGTGGAGCCCTACATACCACTATGTTTACCCAGGGGATGCTGTACCTTGTAGGAGGAGGCTGTCAGAAATGACTACAGCAAGACAGCTCCTCCCAAAGCAGAACCAACTTTACCCCAAATCAGATTTGCACACGATTACACGTCTGCCTCATCACGAGATATTTTAAATACAGTGAGGGTTTCTACAGACACAAACATGCCTCTTCAGTTCAATTTTATTTATATAGCAGTTGACTCAAGTGTAAGGTACAAACTACAATAAAAAATGGACAAGAAAACGGAACACCACAATGATCATATGACCCCCTATGAGCATTACTTTGGTGATATTGGCAAGGAAAAACTCCCTTTTAATAGGAAGAAACCTCAAGCAGAACCAGGCTCGGGGAGGGGCGGCCATCTGAGCAACTGGTTGGGGTGAGGGGAGAAAGATCAAAGAGATCTTGCAGTAGATAGCCAGAGATTAGAGGATGCCAATGTTCACATTTTAGAGAGAGAAGACAGAATTCCACTAGGATTTAAATACCTGGTGCACTCCACCGTTTGGGTTTAGAACTGAAGAAGCCTCTTGAATAAGAGTTGAAACATCTTCAGAAACTTAAATAAGACTTTCTCTTACAAGGTTTTAAAAGTGAATGTAAATCAGGCATCAAGAATTTGATAAAACATCACAGACATACCTGCAGTTCAATGTAGAGACATTAAAAACATTCCCTTGCTGTAACATGTCCAGGATTACACAACTGAAATACATGAATTAAATGGATAAGTAAAAAGACTCAATGAACTTATAACTTGGTAAGTATCCAAGTAGGTAAAAGAAATGGTTCTTCGTACGAGGTGTACTATAAATGCAAATGTTATCAAACTGATCTAAACTTCCACTCTTCAGCTGTATGGAAAAAACACTACTTATTAACTTTTATATTTATTTAATAATGTTAACATTTTGTTCAAATAAAGTCAGCACATGACAGTTGTGGA